AAAAAACTGAGTATTTCTTGCATTTTTGCGATCTAGCCCTGATTTCCAAACGTTTGTTAAGGGTGTTTTAACACCAAATTAATGTGAAGTATCATATATTATCACCAACACGCATTAATAAAACAGTTATATCACCTAATGGAGCGTGAAAAATATAAATTTCTAATGAAGCTCCATGTGAAACTGGCATATGAATACAGTATCTGCGACTGAATTGCAGATGCTACAGAGGGCTTCTATGAAAAAGGTACTACAAAATGTTGTAACAATAAAATCAGCAGTCAAACCAAACTCTTTGCTTCCAATTTTTTTTTAAGCCAAAATGTTCCTGCTTTCAAACTTCAAAATCTTCATGAACTTCACCTTGCTGAGAGCCGACGCAGGTGAAATCCCAGGGGGATGCTTCCAGCCATCACTACAGCCTAGTCAATAGAGACAAATCTTGCAGGTGGAACAAACGGCCTACAAAAGGGAAGGCGATGGGTGTTTTGCACAGCTTTCTGCTCGCTCCTGGCAGGCTCCTGGCTTGCGCAAATGAGTGTGGTGCCAGTAGATGGCACTCCAGAACGTGTAACACCGGCGCTGGGTCTGCGGGCTGGCTGGGTGCGGGCAATGGCCTCCACTGGCCACCCCTTGCGCTCTGTTGGAATCGAGATACTCGGAGAAAGGAGAGTAAGAGCTAATGCCTCCACAGGGCTAAATACCTCCCAGCACCAGCTGGTGTTGTATCTTCTCCAACACATGCTCACTTTGTATATCCAACCTATTTCAAAAGCAGTAGGACAGACCTATCATGCAGCACCTTAGTGTTAACCCTTGTTGGCGGTGGTCTTACCCTTCTTTACAGCCCTTGTAGGGGATTCTGGAAGCACAGGAAGCTTCCTTCAACTCTTCCAAACTTAGGTGAGGACAGTCAAAACCCAACCTTTCAGTTTGTAAACACAGGGTAAATTAAGGCAAAGGTTTATAGTTAAATAGCTTGTCACCACTGTGAGCCAGGTTTTTTGTTCCTCGTAGCACAAGCTTTATTGCTGTCATACAAATTCACCAAAGGCAATATTTTGCCCTGCATCTTTGAAACACAAGTCTTGAGAGTTATGATGCAAAGAAGAGATGTCGTGAAAGCAGCACCAGGCAGAACCCATCTTAGAACAGAACTGAGCAAAACTAATTAGCTTCTGCTCTTCGAAAATGTGCTTTTCCACACAAAATGGCTATATAATAGGTGAATGTTACATGATAAAAAAATTTCATTATAATCAAGAGTTCAGTGGTCATTTCCATGGACATTTTGCTTATATTTTCATTAATAATATAAATTATAGATATCCTAAGACATAACATTACGTACCACTTTTTAAGGGCATTCATGATTTAACTAATCTGAAACTGCATGCTTATGTTTTCCATAATGGCTATCGAATGCAATGTCAAGATGTTCTTAAACTGATCTGCTTATAAAGCACTTAATTCAGAACATGCAGGCTATGTCTTCATCAAAGACTATGAGAATAATTGTTATCAAATTAAAAATGCAAGAAATATGTGGTTGCTCTCAGTGTTATACCGTGTTACCAGGTCTGAGCACAATCATTAACAGGAAAGTTGTCGCTGGCCATGAAATACACAAGACCGTTTAACTGCCGCCCACAGCGACCATGAAAATGCAGAGAGTGATGATTTAATTAATAATCCCAGAGATACCAGGAGGTGCTCAAAAACTAAAGAACTACCAGCATTATTGCTGTGAAGAAGGAGAGAGTCGGAACGTTCCCACCAGCATGCTCAGCCTTACGCCTTTGCTGTCAAACATGATAGCAGAGATTATGGCTTGGAATCACCAGATTATTTCATATAGGCCTTGACAACAGCGTTGCATCATATAGTGAAGGGTCTGTTTCCTTTCTTTGTTTCAAATGCCTTACTTTGCTCCTATGCTTGTGCAGACTTCAGTCAAAAAGCATTTCTCATTTACATGACCTAGATAGAATAATAGTGAGAAAGCTGTTCCTTGATCTTTTTTTCTCTTGATTTGCTATATTCAGCCTGGAAGGAAAACAGAGTCATGGGAACGCATTGTTTCTTTTATGCTGGCATTAGGAAGCAGTGCTAGGTAGATTGGGGGATAGATCTAGGCAGAAGCCTTGCAATAAATGGACAGAAAAACACATGGAATAGCTTTAGGGATTACACAGTTTTGCTTATTTTTTAAAAAAAGTTTCTTGTTTAGTGACTTTTCAAACTTGATTTTACTACAGTGACCTGGAGCTGACAATAACTATAAGGTCAGTGATTTAACTCTAGCATAGCTATGTTTAGAACCATGTCAGTAGTTAAGGGCGATACCTCAGTGCAATGGGTGTCTTAGTCCATGATTACTCATTTCAGAGTCATTACCTCAGCTGGCATACTGGACAACCTATATTAAAAAGTGCTATGAACTGACTTGAACTGTTATGGAAATAGTTTGAACACATCTTGACTCCATCTGGCCTTAGCTGTTTCTCCGTTGTATCCATTACTCAGATCTGTGGCCCACCACAGGCTCCTTTTCTGATCTAGACAGATGTTTCTGTGACATCTCATATGACAAGGTATGAGAAAGAAATCTTTCTTGAACTAACAAAGCAAGAAGCAGAGGAAATACCCAGGTACAACTGTCCATGGACTGCCATGATGAGCATACCCATGAGGCAAGTTAAAGGAACATTTGCCTGGGTTTAGAATGATTCGTGACAAGCTGTGGCTATGTGCACTGAACTATGCAACGATAATGAAGCTGAATAAAACATCTGCTCAGGAAGGAAAGAAACAGAGTTATTTTAAAACAGAGTTTTTAACAACTTTAAATATTTTATTCCAAGAAGTAGAAGGAAAAGCAGACAGTTGTCCATAAGGCTGTAGAATCCCCAAATACAGACAAACTCTGACTAGCAATAACAAAGAAAAGGAGATCATCTGGTAGTTAAGATGTTTCTTAACTACCATTATCATTAAGATAAGTGCCACTGCTGAAGCCTGTTGGCGCATAACAGTATGAATAAATGAAAACACAAACCATCTTTGTGGTGAGGAGCCTCAGGAACAGGGCATGAAATAGTTTTTAGAAGTTCTTATCTCGAAAATGGAAGGACCGATTCCAAAATAATGGGTTTGGCGCTCTTGTCATCCAAGTGCAATTAACATAGATGGAAGTATGCCCACTGACACTGGGGGCATACTCCCACACAACCACCGGCACTGATGGGCTTGAATTCAGCCTCCATCCTCTTTCAAAAATATGTCAATATGTATATATATATAAAAAAAAGTCTATCCAGTCAAACATAGGTAGGAAACGTGAGACAAAAGGGCACTGACAGAGGAATTAGGGAAATAATCCAAGCGATCATGAATGAAGATTATTTCATGTAATCGTGTCCAAATATTAAATTCATACAAAACAGAGCTTACCACAAATTCTTCCATGCTTGTCTTGAACTTAAAAGAACTTATGAGAGGTGATCATTGGGTGAAAAAGAATTTAAGAAAGCCTGGCCCCCAGACAAACAGCTTGTGTGGTTTCCAATCTCCAAGCTAACAGAAATATTTATTCTACATATCTCAACTCTAGCCCACTATTGTATAAAGAAAGAAGTATTGTGTGTTTGAAATCTTTGTCATTATTATGTCCACTGTAAACAGCTGTTTAGGCAGAACTAAAGCTACTGAAAGTGGTTTCCTAAAAATCATAGAGGATACTGACATGCTCTTTCTTGAAGGAAAATTGATGTGAGTCCTTTTATAAAGGAGATCTGTGCTCTGAGCACTCAAAATATATCATAGAATCTAATCGTACTACTTCCCAAAAGGGAAGGATAGAGTGCACCACTGAACTGAGAGTGGTACATCTCTTTGGAGACATTTCGGGGGGGGGGGGGGGATGATGCCTGGCTGCATCCTTCTTTATATAAAGAACCCTGAAACAGTATAGCATGAATCCTGCATTTGTATTTTATGTTCCCCCATATGAGAGAGAGAGGAGAGATCTCAGCCTGTGTAAATGAGGCAGACATGGTAATGAGATCATCTTCTTACCCTGATGTGCTCGTGGAACTTGGAGCAGTGCAGGCTGAACAGATGAAAGATTACCGAAAAGGAGGTGGAACTGCTTTGTTCTGCCTTTTTTCCCTGAAACCTGAGTTTCTCCCCCGAAGATAAAATAGTGGGGATGCCTGTCTCAGACAATGGGTCATACAGAAAGCATACATCTATTCAGTGACATGATGCAGAACTTGTGCTGCATGAGGTGCAAAGAGTCACAAATGGGTCCAAAATGGGCTGTTTGGTACATCTCATTGCAATGTTTCACCTTCATCTTATGGAAGGGTAGTGAACTTCAGTATTAAGAATATTTAAATATTTTTTTTCTCCCTAAAAAAAGAGAGGTTGGCTAATAGTCCCACTGCTTTGAATTAAAATACTTGCTATACTTGTCTGTATTAAAGTGCTGTAGTAGTAAAAATTGACTCTTCCATGCTGTCATTCTTTCACTATAAAATGAGCAGCTCATAGGAGCAAATATTTTGGCTCTGAATGTGGCCAGAAAAAAAGAGTTTTCTTCCAATAGTTTTTTTCTTGGGTAAGACTTTTCATACTGTGTTTGACATTCTGAATTACATGATTATGTAGTATAAGACTCCAGCAACATTTTGTATTGTAGAGATGGAGATGCTCAGCATTTTGCCAGATGCCAAGTGATATTCTGATATTTATCTTTTCACTTTAAACTGAGTGACAGCATAGTCACAATGAAGCCAAGACAATCTGCTATCAAGTTACAGTAATGATATTTTCGCTGATGAAGATCCCAGAGCTTGTTGGAATAAAGCTCCTTAAAACTCAGTGTCTGGAATAGCTCCAGCTTGAATTGCTCTCTGTGTAATATCATTTTATATTTGTGCCAGTCTAATAAGTAGATCACTGGGTAGAGGCTTTGGTAAGTAAGTCTATACGTACTGCACCATTTCCTGGCTCTGTGCTCCAGTGTGTTGCAGGCTGTGTGCAGTGGGGGAGGTGCCAGCGCTGATCAAGCAGTGTAATTTTATACATTACTGAATCAGTGCAGGAGAAACCTGGAGGGACAAAGCATCATCTTCTCTTTGAACTGCACTGTAAAATCCTACAGCTCTCTTAGCCTAGCCATGCTTTGATACATTTTTTCTCTTCTTTTTCTGATTTTGGTGTGAATGATAAAGTGATCTGATGATGGCTCTCGTTATGGAACCTATTAGCAAGTGGACGCCCAAGCAAGTAGTGGATTGGATGAAAGGTATGATCATTTATTACCATGTATTGTCTGTACTTTGGATCCTTGCAATTTATGTATTTGCTTTTGTATTCTTTGTTTTGGGAAGAGTTTATTCAGTTTAAATCATCTGTATGCTGCTTTGCACAGTAGTTTTAAAGACACAACTGAGCAGAGAGGCTGTTTCAGCTGTGCAGAATGTTGTTGGAATTTCTGCCGAGAACTGAGTGGGGATCAAATGCATTTGTTGCTAAATGCAGACATAAAGTGTTTGTGTCTCATGGCTCCATTATGCATTGCACAGTGTAACATTAGTATGTTTGGTTGCTTTAAATTTGCCCTGATTAGGTCTGTTTTGCTCATATCAGGTGATCTGATGCAGTGCCTGTGCAGCACTTGTGTGTAGTTTTAGGGTACCACAAGGAGCATAAGGTGCCGGTGGCTGGATGAGGAATTGTGCTTCTTACTGACATGATGTCACATTAGTCCTGATGTGTTCACGCTTCCCAGCTGCTCCTGCTCGTGCTGCTGCCATGTCCAGCACACCCGGTCCCTGTCCGTCGCTGGTACCGTGGACAGTGCAGCCCCTGCCGTGCGTGGGGTGCGTGAGGGGGAGCACGCAGGGCTGAGCCTGGCTTCGCTGGGAAAACTCTTCCCGGTAACTTGACAGGAATGATGATTTCCCTGCACATTTGCAGTTTCACAACACAGCCATAAGCTGTGACATGTTTTGCCTCACAATGCTCGGCTGTGCTGCAAACAGATTGGATTGGATGGGAGGGTGAAGAATTGTTCGTGATGATGAGTGGTTTAAATTTCTCCAGTGTGGGGGAAAATGTATTTCCATGGTAGGATGCATTAGTGTTGTTATTCGTGACTTCTGATGAGCTGTCTGTCTTAGAGGCAAATAATTTCTGCTCCATTATATAAGGAGAAAAGGTGCAAATTTTGGGTTTATGGTACACATTTCTGTAATGTGATTGCTGAGCTTATTAGAGGGTTGAGTCAGATGCCCACTGTAATATCCTTAAAGCTTTTAAAGTAGTATCATTATTAAGAGAACGGTTCTAATTTCATTTTGCTGAGATGCATCTCCATACTTAACTGAAATTGGGCTCTTTAGGTGCTTATCAGACACAGTACAATTATGAGCAAAGCATTCTTTTACAAGTATATAGTAGTATGAAGCAAATAGTATCTTGGAGAATGTATGGAGTTTTTCTCAGGTGTTTGAGAACTCAGGTTATTTGGGAGGTCTTAAGCAGGTCATCAGGAAGGATCCTGAAACCGTTAGATACAAGACTGATTCCCATTCTCCAATGTCGTTACTTGAAATCACATCCTAATGTATGTGCAGAGGAGAGTTTTCAGTACATACAAGATTTCAAAAGTGGGCAGGTAATCATGCTATTTTAACTCATGACTTCAATTATAGCGTATGTTAAATGTCAAAGTGTGTGTAAGACTTGTTGCTAATTTAAAAATACTTCCTGCTGCTTTTTTACCCTTTACTAATTTACCCTAACTAATTACATCTCGGTTAACATGAACCCATAACATCTGTAGTGCATACCATGGGAAGCAAGAAGATCACACAAACAAAAGGGTTTAAAATGTGTGGAGTTGCCTGACAGTAAAATTTGTATACAAAACTGCATCCTGCATCCATAGGGATGTGTGGAGTAGGCAGTGATGTCTCCGTGCCTCTGGGCTTCAGCATAAATGAGGATAATGCAATGAGCATTGAAGTATTTACAAGAGACGTGTGTTCCTTGGTAACATGAGCGCTACACATCCACAAACATAACAGTTGCCCATTTGTCCATTTTTACCATGCTAATATTGCAAGCCCTTCTTTTGTCCTGGTGTTTACCTTTATAAATGCATTCTCCAGCTGTAGCCAAAGAAAAGCCCTAACACACATAAATGGAAGTGTACCAGAGTTAGTTTCAAAGTACTTATAAATACCTCGCTTTACAAATAATGCCCAGTTGTGGCCACTGTTTGCCTGTAATTTACATGTATTCTGTATGTCAGCTCTATTAGCTGTAGTCATTATGCTAAACAGCTATTAATACATTGGAGAGGTCAAAGGTCTGCATAGGTAGTGATTTTCAAGTGATGAGATAGCTTTTATGCATTTCTTCTACACTGAAAGGTACAATTCTGTGACAGTGTTAAAAAGATAAAGACATTTTAGGAAAATTGTCACGCCGTGAATGTGGAGTGTTATCTCTACTACAGATAGCAACATGTTAATAAACAACGTGACAAATATGGCAAGTGTAATGTGCCTTTTTTGGCTTAAAAACATGTAGTCAATTAGCTTTATTTGTAAAGGGAAAATTTCATAGGGAAATTATAGTAATATGCCTTTTAAACTTGAGTTTATCAGATTATTTAAGCTATCGTAGCTTATTTATAAAAGCTGTTAGCAAAGTACATGTTTTAAAATCAAATAGCAGTGAGTACCAGCAACATCAAATAATTGAAGAGAAGATGAAAGAAAGTCACAAAAATAATACTACTGTTTTGAGACCTGGCTGCCCAGGATGCGTCCTTGTTCCAGTGTTCTGTTACCAGCAGTAGCAGTAGCCTAAGCCCCAGCCAGGAGGGGACACCCTTCTCGTCTCTTCTTCCTTAAGGAAACATTACCTGCCAAAAAGGTAAAAACTGGTAGGGTTAAAGGAACATTATTATGACAAGCTGGCATCTTGTATTTACCCACAGTTCCTTTCTCAGGAATGCATTCAACTGGAAATCAGCTTGGGAACTGTGGACAGCCTGAAAAGGCCATGGAAGTCGTTTGAAATTGATTCTTAAGGTTTACAGGGGATCTAGAAGTTAAGGCTCCAAATAGCTTTGTGCTAAAAAGTTGTCTTCATACTAACATGTTCTGTAAAGTTTAGCAAATACACAGCAGAAGTCGCTGCGGTTCAAAAGAATGTTTTCAAAGGAATGGAAAGTGTTAATTGTGAAGATATTTTTAACAACAGTTTTCAGGCACTATTCTATTTTTTTCCCAGATTTCCTAAAATTTTAAATTTCTCTAAATGTTTTTTGCTTCAGAAATAAGGGAGTGTTTCTGCTGGTATATAGCCATTTCTTACATAACTCATTTTTTTTCCTGGGGATATCTACTATGGACCCAAAGGTTTTTTAGGAGAAAGAGCTTTGCCTTGCTCAAATTCCATTGTGGCACTGTTGGAAAAGAAGTACAGCCATAGAGCTTTCAAGTACATGAAGAGTCAGAGTGGTTTTTTAACCTGGTCAGGTTTTCCTGTGATTTAGTTTAACATATTAATATGACACTTCAATATTTGCATCCATAATCCTTCTACCTGCAGACTTTGATTGCTTTTTGGCCTATGAACTTTCTGTGAAACTCAGCAACACTTTGCTGGTGCCAAGAGGTTATGGGAGTGAGCGCTCCTAAACCAAAGGCCGTCTGTTTTTAGATGCATGTACTCTGGAAGGTGATCCTGTACAGAATTTGGGGGGCTTGGGGCGCAGAGGGGAGGTATGATGCCTTACTGCTGCCTCTGATTTGCACTTAGAATTAGTAAAAGCGTGATAGTTTGTGTTTTCATTTCAGGCTGTAGACAGTGTGCTCTATACTTGTAACAGAATTTACGAGTTTGTACTTCCTAAGTGAAGCAGTTTACAAGTAGGTCATGTAAAATGTGAACTCATTTACAGTGAAGTGATGCCTCTTTCCAACTAAATACTAACTTTCCCAAACAATGCAATGCAATGAAATGAAAGACAATGAAATAAAGCTGTGACTTCGGGGGAATGGAATGTTATCAAACAGCCAAAAAATAAAAATAAGGAACCAGTTGTTTCTTAAGTACCTGTAAGTAATAAGTCCACATGGAGTCAGTTACTCAAAGTCTTGGGGACTGACAAAACAGCCTGCAGTGGCGGTTTCTCTCATAATGTATGCTCAGCTTTGGATCCTCATTTCACAACTGCAAGGCGGTTTTTTTCCCCTTTAAATGCAGAATTTCTCCACTCTCAACAGGAGATGCAGAAATGAAAAAAATAAAAATTAATTCAGTTGGTAAACTGACTAAGTGTGCTGCACTGATCCTGTGCAGAATAATTATATGTTTAGCTGAAGGGTTTTCCTTAGCATGTAATTCCCTGATTTCAAGCTGGCTCATAAAAGAGAAAGGAAGGGAGGGAGGGGGGAGCTGAGAGCAAGGAAGCTGATGACGTGAGTGGACTTGTTAGCATTCATGTCACGCAGGGCTCCGGCAAACCCCTTCTCAGTCTTCCTTTGCTTTTCATTCGATCGCTACCTGTTCTGTAGCAATGTCGTAACCAGGGAGTCTCCCTCTATTTACAGCAAGTAATACATAAAATCTTACAGCATGCTGGAAACACAGCTAAATATGGTGACATGCTGCAAAAGCAGCCTTGTAGGTACTGAGCTGGATGATACTTAGCTTACTCGGTCCCCCTTCATGACCTTAGAATCCCATAATACAAGAACTCTACTTCACAAGATGCAATTTGAAACTTGAGTGGTTAACCCTGGTCATATCTTATTTAGAAAAACGTAGGGTTTATAACGTCGTTTCGGTTCTTTCTGAAGACAAATAGGTTTGGAAGAGAATTGAGAGCCATCAATAGAGATGCCCTCAGAATTAGCTTTGAATTTTCAAGCAGTTCCAATGTAAAGGTTTCACCAGTTTCTTTCTACTCCCACCAGTTTCAAAACTCAGACAATTTACTGTTGTGTCTCCTTCTTGGAGGACTGTGTTCCACTTGTACTACATTTCCAGTTGTCATTAGAAAGTCACTGAACAGAATTGTCTGCAGTTCCTCTCCAATTCCTCTTACAAGTTTCAGACTGCAATACTTTTTAGATATAAATTTTGGCAACAATTACTCTGTTGAATGTTGTCAACTGTTTGCTTTAAAAAGGTCAGAGCACACCTCAGAGTTGAATGCTTTGCAGTGTAGGTGGTTAAGATCAGATTTCAATAAACCAACATAGGTACAGCTAAGTGTTGGAA